GAGTGGATGAGTGACATGAAGGAAGAATTTTTGTTGTGTACATCTATTTTAAACCAGTAAGAATGCCAAACAGAGCTGGCACTCTAACCACACATAACAAACGGGTCACACTCTCACTTCTGTCAGGACACGTTTTAGTCCATTCCTGCAGTCCTTTGATTTGATCCAGTTAAGGGCTAGATGAAATCAAGGTTTTCCCAAGTTAGTCCATTTATTGGAATCAATAGTCTTGGAGCCAAGACCAGAAATTTTACGGTAATTTTGTAGAGGATTCATTGAGAAGGATGTGTACAAGTCTGATCAATAACATGCTGGGTACTGAAGTTACTAATTTTTATATCAGTGGCAAGCTAAGACATTATAAAGTAAGAGCTCTTAATTACATTTGATTTGAAATGAACTGAGCACATTTCTTAGTAATAAAATCTAGACCTTCATTCTAAAACTCACATTGAACAGCCTCCCTAGTTCATTTAGTTCATTCCTTAACTGGCTATATACATGGGTTGGTTTTTGAACATACAATTGCAACATTATTTGAGGAATCATATATTTTTAAATGTGTGAAAATCCACTGGTGTTTCATAAAGGGCTTAAGAAAATTATAGACAGAAGAAAAATAGATTTCAGGCTATTATGTTTAATGATTTGCAAATGTTAAATTAGACCATGACTGTATTACTGGTCTTTGGCGAAGAACTGACTTAAACAGATCAGAATAGTAGATGCAATTTTTTAGTGCTGAGGTCAAGCAATAATAAATTAGAAAAGAAAGACCATACACATACTGAATTACATCTTGACTTTCATGAGTAAAAACTTCATAATAGTAGGAAAAGACACAAATAGCTTTGGGCTGAAATGTTTTATGTCTCTATTTATGTGGAAAGCAGCCAGTACTCTCTCTCTCTCTCTTTTTTAAGATTTATTTATTTATTTGTGCAGAACTGGGGTACAGGCCAGAGATGCGGAGGGTGAGAGGATTCACCAGAGACAGAGTGGGGAGCAGAACAGGCAGATCGAAGAAGAAGTACACTGCTGAGGGGAGCAGCGGGCGGGTCAGGAGAGGTCTGCCACGCCATGTGGTCACCTCCGGGGCAGGTGGGGATCGAACTCATGCAGAAGTGGCTTTAGCTTCTTTGTGCTGCTGTGCTTTAACCCACTGTACCACCAGGGAGGGCCAGCCAGTACTCTCTTAAGTAAGATCAAGACAAACCATCAGTGTTGCAGCCATAGTCTGCAGAAACAACATGATTTAGTCTGTGTTCTTACATGTGGACTGGCCATGTTTAATTAAACGAAAAATAAATACTGGAATGACTAGAACATGGAGTTTACTATTTTTTAAATTAATTTTATTTTTGTAGAATTGCTATTGTTGGAATACGTAATTTAAACCAACATTATCTACATTATCTGATGATTCTTGAGCTTTGCAGCAAGCAGAGAGATGATGTAAATTCAATTTTGTCATTTTCCCCTGTTTTTCCAACTCATAGGGGATATTACTTGTTTCTTGTGTTAAGAAATGTCATTCTAAGCTACTCTTCACTCTTGGGGACTGGCAGCTAGCCTTGATCTAGGAAGTTCTGGATAGAACGTGGTCGACATCTAGTGGCTGCAGACATAACCTCAATGTGCTATTTCTTGGCCCCAACAAATGATGTAGTGAGAAAGGACCTTTGGAGAAGAACAATTTCATCCCCACATCCTTTCCCCTTTACCTGGGTTTGACCCAATTCTGTGGTTGTCAGCTGATCCCTGCAGACAAGGACATTTAATGAATATAACTAGTAACACAAAGTGAAAGATACTCTCTCTACCTTTAAGCTCTATAAAATGCCAAGGAAAAAGGAAGGTGGTCCTTAAAAAAAAAAACAAAAAAACAAAAAAAGCTTGAATTAAACCAGGTGTTTTTGCAATGAACAAAGAGTAAAATAGTGCTTAAAAAAAAAAACAAAAAAACAAAAAAAGCTTGAATTAAACCAGGTGTTTTTGCAATGAACAAAGAGTAAAATAGTGCTTGATTTTCAGTTAATCTTTGTCCTCCATCCTGTGTCTACCTAAAACAGTCAGAATTGGGTTTTTCCAGAAAAGTATAGCAATGAAAAGCAAATCACAGATAAGGGCTTTCTTACCACAGCTCCTGTGGCAACCACATCTGGCTAGGGGAGAGGGAAGGGAGAAAGATTGGAGAAGGGGAATTGTAACTATGTGTCCCCAGACACTGATTTAGTAAACAAGAAAATGAAGCCTCCCACATGGCATGTTATTTCAGAAGTGAAGTCGGTAGTATGTGTTCTACTAGTTGGTATTAAAACAACATAACAGAGGACAAGCGCTCACTGAAAGGGTCATGGAATTTTGTTTCTGTGAGCTAGGTGGATTGTTGGTGTGTGTCTATGAGTGTGTGTTATTTGTGTCTGTGTGTGAGCTACCCCTGATTCACAGCAGGGTCACCAGATTGGAGCTAAACAATACATCTATTATCACAAAACCCTCCTGGGTCAGGTGTCACAGTAGCTGCTGTGTTTCCATAGCAACCTGTGGATGCTTTAGCCAGAAAAGGACAGAAGGCCATTGCATGGATGACAGAATGATGCCAGCGATAATAGAGCAAAAGGAAGCTTAGGGCAAGAAGAGATGGTTGTAAAAATAAATGCCTATATGTTCTACATCACAAATTCTACTTTAACATGGGTGCTAATTAAAAGTAAACAAATCAAATTTATGGAAGCAACTGATGTCATTGGTAAATGATTGCTTATTTGAACCTGACATTAAAGAGTTTATAATGTCTGGGGAAAGAGGTTAACTTACACTGAAAAAAAAAAAAAAAAAGACTAAATCAGGCCGGGTATGCAGATGAGCTCAGGACACTCTTGGAGAGATGATGTTGTGTAACTTGAACCAAATAAGGAGGTTCATTTTGGTGCCCTTTTACTTCTCCTTCCCCCATGAAACTTCCCCAAGGCGAGGCAGGGAAGATGGAGATTTTGAAAACTTGCACTTAGTTTCTTCCCTCACCTATCTGTGTTGTCTAGTGGAGTTTGCTAAATTGAAAAATAACATTCTGAATAAGTCAATGTCAGAAATTCAAGAAACTAAAAGCAGCCCTTTTGGGACTACTCTTCCTTTAACGCTGTATTTAGCCCATAAACACATGTATGTGTAGCTCAGCATGTGCAGACAGAATCTATTAATTTTCTAGAAACTGCAAAGAGCATTCTGCAGAGAATGTGTCTATGGCATCAAAGCAGAAGAGGAGCTTCCTCTTATGGCCCACAACGTGTGGAAAACTTTAATGGAAAATATAGTCCCATCTGTGCTTCCACTAGTTTTTTAGTGCATGTCTAGGAATTTATTATTGAAAGGATATTAATGTTTCTTGTTAGATTTTTGGTTTTCTTTTCTTTTTTTTTTTAAAGATTTATTTATTTATGCATATAGAACTGAGGTACAGGTCAGAGATGCAGGGGTGGTGAGAGGATTCACCAGAGACAGAGTGGGGAACAGAACAGGCTGACTGATGAGGTACACTGCTAAGGGGAGCAGCGGGCGGGTCAGGAGAGGTCTACTAGGCCATGTGGGTCACCTCGAGGTGGGGCTCAAACTCTTGCCGAAGTGACTTTATCTTCTTAGTGCTGTGCTTTAATCCGCTGTGCCACCAGGAAGGGCACTAATTGATATTAAGACATTTTCTTTATGATTACCTGGAGGTGGGTGGAGTAGAAGGAACAGATAGGAGAGAGAAGAGAAGGAGAAGAGTAGCATAAAAAAATATTTTAAAATATCTTGGTTAAAAAAAATAAACACTTGCCTTTTGCAACAACATGGATCAAGCTGGAAGGGATCATGCTTATGAAATAAGCCAGAAAGAAAGGGAAAAATACCGGATGGTTTCCGTCATAGCAGGAGTATAAAGAACAAGGGGAGAAAATAATAACAATAATGAACAACTATATACCAGAGAAATTTTACAAGGGTAGAGTGGGGAATGGGATCAAAAATGGTGGGGGGTGGGGAGTGCGGAGTGCACTGGACTATGGTGACTGCACATGGGTGATTTGGTGATGGAAAGCCCACTGGGATTACAGCTGAGATGGAAAAAGTTCACAAAATGACGTAAAAAATAAACTATTTATTATTTAAAAAAAGGGACAGTGTTGTCCTTTTAAAAATACATATTGATATGCTTTTAAAATAAATATTTTAAATGAAAAAAAATTTTGGGTTAGGAAAAATGTTTCCCTGATACCTTCTCAAAACTGGGCAGAGTAATTACTATAATGGGGATGCCAAGGGATATGTCTTATCAAGTTTCTTTAAATATTCTAAGTTTGCAAAGAATGCAAGATTTTATCTTATAAATGTCTTTTGTTGATAATATATCTTTTCATTTATGCTATAACTTTTTGACTAGACATTTAATATTTGGTAACTTTAGCTATGTTACACCAATGATATATATTTTTAATAAAAATGAAACAAAATATCATGATGTGAAAGAAAGTAAATAAGGTATTGGAGCAGATCAAAGAGCTTTCATAAGTGTGTGTGTGTTAGAAACGTAAAATACATATAGATTTCCAACTCTCATTCAAAATATGCTTACTTTTACCTTACAGAGAAGTATGACAAAATAAGTGAGTAGGTTTCTAAACTGATAGAAGCTTGGTAAGACTTCATGAGACTATTTCTTTTGTAAACCCAGTACAACTGAACACACAACCTAGTAGATAGGGTTTGCTGAAGACTGTGAAGATTAAAGGGGCCCTGGGAAGTGGGTACACAGCTGAGCGAAGTTATAGCTGACAGTCTAGAATCCACAGACAGAAGACTACTACAAAGCAGGCACAGATAATCACTGATTCAAAGGTACACATCTCCATATGCCTTACTAATGGAAGGGTATAGCACAGATGCAGAAACAATCACCATAACAATAACGACCTCAAGCCACTAAGAAAATATTAGCTTTTATTTAATATCCATTTAACAAAAGTCAGAGCGATGTACAGGGTATTTTAGGATCGTTCCATTGGAGATCAAAATATTCTGTCTCCTTGGAAACCCCAGTTCCCTTCCACACTATAAATTCTGTGTAACAGCCCAGTCATGACAATATGTTATGCAGCCATGAACAATTCCTAGATTTTATTCCAGGGTGTCTAATTCCATAGTATCTTTTATAGATGTAGAACACATGCTTTTACTTTGCTTTTGAGACTTGCTAAACTTCCCAGTACAGAATTTTAATATATTCCACATGTCAGATCTTCCTGTTTCAGTAACAAAACAGTACAGAATTGGATCAGCCACACAATTTAAACTTGTTAATGCCACCGTGATCCTATATATTTTATAAGTCTGTATCCCAGACTGGGCCTGGTTCGAAATACTCTGGTTAACATTTGCATTATTTTCCAAAATGCTGCGAGTCAGCAGCATCATGTGAAAGGGAGTGAAGCACAAGACAAAAGTCAATGTGATACCGAACAGTAGTTTTAGGATTTTCTTCTTCTCCTGGTTTTCTGTGGCTTGATTATGCTTCACAGCTTGATAGACCTTGAGGTTACAAATCACAAGGATGACCAAAGGGATGGTGTAACCTGTACACGTCCTGAGCAAGTTATGATTGACCTGCCACTTGTCTAAAGGGTATTTGTCATAACATAAAGTAAAACTCTTTGCATCGCAGTATTCTGTAGCTATGTCTTCTTCCCATAGAGTGTAACTATTGATGATGATTTCTGCCATCCACAGGATGAGGCAGACAGCGAAGGCAAACTTTCTTGTCCTTAGGTAGGAAAACTTCAAAGGATAGACCACAGCTAGATACCGGTCCACAGCAATGCAGGTGAGAAACGCTGTGCTGCTGTAGAAGTTCATGAACATGAAGAAAGTGCTCCCTTTACACAAGGCATAAGAGAAATTCCAGTTGTCTTTATTCCAAGTGTAATCAATCCATAGGGGGAGAGTTAATGTATACAGCAAATCTGATAGTGACAAACTGAAGAGGTAAATTCCTAGTTCGTTTTCCTTCTTTGCTTGCAGGAAAGACACACAGAGAGACCCAATGTTGGCTGGGATGCTGACTATTACTACAAAGATGTAAACAATTGGAAACAAATAATGATCCAGTTCATGTTGTTCTTTAATACAAGTGCTGTTCATCTTTGCTACCTTTCCAGGGTGGCAATTACATTTGTTTTTAGAAACTGAATAGAAAAGTCAGTCTTGCTTCATTGCAATTGTTCTCTAATTCTCTTTTACTACTAAGTTTTCTTTGGTTTTTCTTTGTTCTCCAAACTTTGGATTACTTCTGTGTTTTTAAAGGTGAATTTAGATCTAGTTCACATAGATAACAATGGCTGGAAGTTAGGCAGGTAGCTGCAGTGGTCAGCTTTGATTTTAATGACCAGAAATCCCTGTGCTTATTAGCACAGAAAACAGATGAAGACGCCTAAGGATCAAGCGAGTTATCCTTCAGCTTCCAGAGATTGTTGTCCACAATTTATCTGCATGAAATTCAAGAGATGGGTGTAAATATTAAAATCCAAGACTATTTTCTTTGAGATTGGCATTTCTTTTTAAATGCCTTCGTTTCTGCAATGAAAGAGGAACTAGAATAATTGAGATGGTTAAAAAGCATTATGGTTGTGAAACAATCTTATTTTGTTATGCCTTTGCATTAACTTACAATGAAAGTGTTTAAAAAAGAGAAAGTCATCTAATTTTCTTTTGTAAGCAGAATCCATCTGAGATATTTCACTTATTTCAAATAAGAACTACCTAGGAATGCTAGAGTGTTTGTCAGTGGTTGTGATGTAAGAACATAAAGCTGAAGTTGAAAAGCCATATTAGGAGCCAACAACAAAGATGGCAAATTAAATTTGTGTAATCAATAAGTTTTGAGTGTATGATAAGCCATAATTACATAATTCTAAAATTTAAATTTCAAATGCATTGCAAGGGACACAGCACTTTGAAAAACAATTTTTTAGCTTAGAAAACACTGTCACAGGAAATTTGATAAGAGTGAAGTATTTTCAAATAGAGCAGCTTGCTCAGTCTTTCTAAGAAATTGAAGACTACCACTCTTCTGTTCCTGTGCTTACTTTGTGGGCTAGCTCACTTTATCTTTTTCATGCTCTTGTGAAAGAGAGGATAGAATATTCTCAATTCTGTACAAAATATTGTGATCATCAACTTCCACCTTTCTGTCTAATTCTTTATCGGGTTCATACCTTTTTAAGTCTTGATGTCATAGCTGCAAGCAGAAATAGAGAATCTACCTTTTATTTTAGACTGGAGTTGAGGAATATTTCTATTTTCCCTTGCTGGTAAAGCCTATCGGTGTTTTGCACAGAAAATTTTGTAGTCACTATGCAGGGGAAGGAAGATGGGCTTTCTTCTTGTGTGCAGTAGAGCCTAGAACCACCCATTTCCAAGGATGAATGAGTCTGAACCACAGAAGAGATAGGCTATCGCAAGACACAGGAATTCTGCTATAGGTAACCCATAAAATCCTCATTACATGTCACTTACAGTCTTACGGGAAAAAAATGGGGAGCTAAAACTTGTGAAATCTTCCAGTTTTATTATACCAACATGAATAAAATATGAAAAGCCTTTGAATCATCAAATGAAATTTCCAGAGAGGGGGAAAAAAATGTGTGATGGAAAAAAATAGGAAGTGGGAGATGAGATGAGGAAGGTGAGAGAGCAGGAAAGCTCTGGCTGGGCTGGAGCCCAGTGTGGGTCTGGAGGAATTAACTGGAGCCTCTGGTTGCAGAGACAGAGCCAGTAGGAAGTAGCCCTCAGTCCCCCTAGACCTGCCCTCAGGCAAAGGATGCACTAGAAGGTACAACAAATAACACACTACTTGACTTTTTCAGAGAGTGGTTAAGTTGGCCATATCCTGTCTCAGTTTTATTTCTGTGTGGAGCTATAATAAAAAAATCCTGCATGTTCATGGCCTCTGGTAGGACCTCCCTGGGGTATGGGAACGGTGTCTAGGCTCTTGGTTTGGTCCCAGAAACTTCAGCCCAACAATAAATGAATGTTGGGTTACTGTGGTCGACGTCCTTAGTCATCAAGGAAGTACAAACCCAGGTCACAACACACCCACCGGGGCAAATAAAATGGGAACGACAGGAAATATCAAGTGTGGGTGAGGAGGAAGAGGCCCTGGAGCACTTGGCTGGAGAACTGGTGGCGCGTTTGCACACCATATGGTTTAGAACTCCACTCCTAGGCATCTGCTCTACAGAAATGCATCCATACATGCTTCTCCAAAGACATGTGGTAGCATCAGAATGCTCACAGATGCAATTTGTCCTGTGCCTCACCCCACAATGCCCATCAGCAGAACAGGTAACGAAATTGTGGCACACTGATAGAACTGGAATCTATGTGTCAAAAAAGTGGAATAAGTTGTCTGTATACATTAACATGGCTGATGTTCAGAAACATAAAGCAGAGTGATAGAAAAAGACAGACACAAAATGGCATACAATGTCTGACTGCGAGCTAGGTCAAGGTAAATATACTGTGAGAAATTAAGAGTGGGAGTTATTTATTAAGGACTTTTGAAGCTCTGGGCACAATACTAAATGTTTTACACATTTGTTATAATTTATGTTTCACTACACCTCTGTATTATTTATTCTAATTCTTTGTACTACAATTGAAGAATTGGGCCACATCTTTAAAAATGAACACCAAATGACCTTTCTCATCCTTGTGATAGATCAATGCAGTAACAATCCTTGGTTATAGTGCTAAAGTTTTTTGACTCTTAACTTTATTATTTTATACAAAAATATCTAAGAAATCTGACCAGCTTAAAACATTGTTATTTTCCACCTAAAGGGTACCATTCAAAGACGAGCTCAAGTCTTCTAGATATAAAAACAGTTGTCATGAAATAAAATGACTTGTGAATAATCATTTCTGCAAATTAGATCTGATAATTCTATGTTTCCTAAGACAGCACTTTCAGGGGTCCCTCTACATGGGTTTCACATAAACTTGTGAAAACCACCCTCTCCTCATCCTTGGTGACATATACTGTGTTTTGCATGCATCTTTCCATGTGCTTTTTGAAAAAAGCTACAAGTGTTCTGTGGCGATAAATTATGATGGGTAAACACCTCTAAGTTTCTCGCCCACTTGTATAGTCTCTGTATCTTATGGTGGAAAGTGCAAAGGTGTTAGACAGCTTTTTTGTGTGTCATTGCTCTCAATTTTAGAGCTAGATGGTTACAAAGATCAAATAAGCTGCCAAGTTACCAAGGGAAACAAGCTTGCAGGTCGTAGGGTCATGAGACTGAATTTTGAAGAGTCTATTGTTTAGTTCAGGAATCTTATGTGTTTGTTTCAAGGCAAAGCTAATTATCCTTCACTGCTCACAATGTGGTAGTGAAGGAAATATAAATAAGACCGATGGTATAGAATCATGACAAGTAGGAAGATTCATTGGGTGTTTTCCTTCCCTCTCAACAAAGCCTGTCTGTACAGTTGTAAATACCAGGTAGAGTGTCAAATTAGACATTTAATTGTTTGAGGGGGGGAGGGATGAAGGGAAGAGGGGGTGTTAAAAGAAGGGGATTGGAGGAAGGGTGGGGCCTAGGAGAGACTGCTGGCTGAGGGCAGGGGTGGAGAGAGGAGCTGTTAACCGCTGCTGAGAAGAAGCCTGGCACCAGGAGGACTTCTGTCTGAAGGCTTAGTATTCTGTTTCTTAATGAGTGTTAATTCTAAGTGTGTTCAGTCTGTAAAAGTTTGTCTTGCATACCCAAGTTAGCAATTCTGTGAGATTTAACAAAAGCTAGAAGGTAGCATATCAAATCCACAAAAGCTTTAGAGGTAAAAAAAATTATTAGATAAATAACACAAGAAGTATTTATTAAGGTTATAGAGATAAAAGGAGGAATTGGAATACACAAATAAGGAACAAAAGACTATAAAAGATATCCAGGCATATTTTAAAAGGACTGAAATAGACTTTATGAAAATAACAAACCTAATCATCTAAATTTAAACATCAAAGCAGGGGCCGGTTAGCTCCAGCTGAGGAGGGAATTAATATATTACAAGATCACACTAAAGAAATAACATAAAACTATCAGTACATTAAGGAACTGGGTAAAACCAGAGTCATGGAAGATAAAGAGAAAGGTCACATATTTATAATTGGAGTTGTGCAGGGATGATAGAGTAAAGCCAGATTTGAAAAGATACAAAATAAGAACCTTTATTAAAATAAACTACCATTGAGAAAATTTACCCCTAAAATTCTCATTAAGGAAACTTCTAAAGGATGTATTTGAAGAAGGAAAATAGCACTAGGAGAAATTTGAGGTGCACAAGAATTGGATAATGAGAGTGACATTTGATGGGTTTCTATCTCCCCTCCACCAAGAGGCTCATCTAGCTGAGAATGTCTGAATCTCAGAATACCCTTCCTTGGGACAAAACTGGGAGAGCTGGGTGATGGCAATCTCCATGTTAATTCCATGAACATGCCTCTTTTCTCTTAAAAAAAAAAATGAGGTGGACCAAATGGAGAATGATTTAACGAGGGCTTATAAAGTTTTCAATGAAATACATTGCTCGCTCTACAAAAATGTTTGCTATCTTAAAAAAAAAAAAAGGTTTCCTGTCTTGAGTAAAGCCATAAGACCGGGAGGGGAGGTTTGATGGAGCAGATACTGTGTGTCCTCTCTCTAGGGTATCTGAGGTAGCAGCGGCTTAGAGGCTTGAGGTTATGGGTGTGGTGATAGTGACAGTTTGACAGCTTCAACAGCCCTCAGGGGGTCTGGGACTACGGTGCTTTCTGACCTCTGTCTGATACAGCCTTTCCTCCATGAACTAGCTGCCTTCAAAGAGTGGGGTGAGTTCAAGAAGATGAGCAGAATTCTTGCACAAGGGAAGCCATGTTACACTCCTGTTAACCCACATATGCCCTTGGCGTTGTCTCCCACATGTCCTAAAGGAGATCATCTTTGGCCAGCCACCCAAGAGCATGGCAGAAAAGCCAGGGACACTCAGAGTTAACATTGCACCCACCGTACCAAACACAGCCCATAATAGCTGTTGAGATTATTTCTGTGATCTTAATGGGAAACATACATATTTTTTAGTATTCATATATCTTTTCAGATATCGTTTTG